TTGTTAAAGACTTATAAATAATTAAAAAAATAGTAGTTAGTTAATCTAATTTCGTTTTTCAAAAAAAGAAGAAAAATCCAATCTGAAATAAGCGAAAAGATATAGAAGAAAGATTGCAAAAATTTGTGCCCGAGATACTATAGATGGGTGTTCCATAACTTGAAAAAAGTTTGATAAATATTAATTAAATATAATTTAAAAATACAAGACAAACATGTCTTTATAAATTTAAAAATTCTTTTTCATTTCCAATTTGTAAAGAGAAGAATTATTCGAACTTACTCTTAAAGCATTAAAATATTATAAAAATTGTGAGTGAATAATACTTCTATGACGACTTACAGCGAAAAAAAAAAATGTCAACGGCTGACAATATGTTCATTAATCTAACCATTCAAAAGAAAGGAAGAAAAAAAAATCGAACTTTTACAAATGATTAAACTTGAAATCATTTATTAATGAATGGAAGGAAAAACATTTCTCGGTAGTTGGCACTTGTTTACTTCTCGCAAATATTTTTCAGGAAACTTAAATTATGTTCCCAATAACATTTGGAATTTTAACATTGTTCTTTTTATATCACATATTCATTTTAATTATAATGCATTAACGAGTATTTAATTATACTCTATTCATTCTTTTTGTTTCCAAACAATCAATATGTATATTAAATGTTTTGTCATAAGACAGTAATAATAAAAACTACAAAATATTATAAATTCAAATTTGTTACAGTATAAAGGGGGAGAGCAAATGTTCTTCTAAATCTACATATACAGAGATGCCAACTTGCTCTGCTTAATATGAAATTTTTTTCTAGTGGTAGCAAAATTTATCTTTTAATGTTAGATTCGTATGGCTTATGTAAATTTGATATAAATTTATTTTTCCCGTCATATAATTTTCATATAATTTGAAATTTCGTGCGAAACACAATTTCATTCCAGGTATCTCGTGGTAAGTATTTTATCTACAATTTTGCAAGTTTTGGTTTTCAACTCTGTACCACTTAATAAAATATTTCGGAGAAATCTTAGCAGTTGGATATAGACATCATTTCTAGAAAATATAGCGAACTTATTAACGCTTATACGCTTAGAACGCAGATATGCTTATTAAAAGTATAATGCATTTATTTGAATATTTAGGAAATGATTACTTACAATCGAAAAAGAAAATCCTTGTATTACATGTTGTTCATTAAAATAGTTTAATCAACTATAAAAGCCCAGAAGTTGTAATGTACACTTAAGTCAGTCTTTTTCTTTCAAAATAGTGGGGTGTATTCATTGTTAAATCATTTCATGGGTTCAAATTGGTTTCCGAGCGAGGGAAAGACGCCTCCTATTTTTAGTATTTCACAATTTTGTAGAGGCGATATTCACCATGGGTGGCAAACATCTTTTATGATTGGATTTAAGCTAATTTACAACATGGTTTCTATTTTAAATCTATTCAACAGATTCCGAAAATGCTTTTCAAGGAGATTTTTAGCACCTGATGAAATTGATGATTTACAAGCATTTTAGGACAGAATAATTAGTCTAAGCTAGAGTGGGACACCCCATGGTTTTCACATTTCTCTGTCCTCTGGTCATCACCACAGATCTATATCTCTGGCTGAAGGGGTTTAATTCATTTCCTACGCGGATAATTCCCGTTTTAGAATGACTACAACCATGCAATGTGACATAAGAGGAGGAACAAATTGTTTATCTTGTCTCTTTGCTTATGGTTGTGGAAAAATTAATAAAATAAAGATTTATTTAGGAATCATGGATTCCCTGCATTATGGTCTTTTTTTTAAGTATTGAATGCTTTTTTTCAATTCTGCCCTAACTTAAAAAAAATCGTTGATGTTGATCGATTTTGGGCTGTCTTGAAATAATGCCCCCATGGCATTCGTCATACTTGCTATACTTATAGATATGCTACTTATACGTCATTCCTATAGATATGCTACTTGTGTAGTGCTCATGCTATAGACGAAAGGTCATCGGTCCGAAATTGGATGAAACGCTCATCCCAGACCACTATAGTAAGAGAGGTATCAACCCAAAAATGTTACCCTCATTCCCCCCCTACTAATTCGTCCCCTTGACATTATCGCTACCAATCCCAGAAACTGCAGACGCAATCTCTTTCAGGCCGCTTCGCTATCTGATCTCGGTTAACTTATTTTAAGTCTTGTTTAATGCCCAGTTTTTATATTTTAATTTATTTTATAGTTTTTTCAATTATATTGACGCCTGTTGGTTGAGTGTTAGCGTCTCGTCTTCCCATAACACAAGTCCTGGGTTCTATCCCCGGGCCGAGCAAGGTTGGCCCAGCCTTTCATCACTTTTGTTGGTCGATATAATTAGTACCAAACATGCTTGGGAACTTAACACTGGAGATTCTGCTTTGGGTTGACCACACAACATCTGTTCCTGCAGCCCTAGGCCATGAAAACTGAGATGGGCACAGTTGGATTTCGCGTTCCATGGGCTGTCGCGCCACTGAGCAAACTTTTTTCGATTATATTAAAGTCGCGACGTCCTCTGTTTTTTTATAGTCCACAAATTCTCGAAACTGCTTGCTCAACTCTTATCAGATAATTTAGCTTGCTATTTTTATCTGTCACGGGTCTGTCTGTTATGTGTCTACGAGAAAAATTACCGATCGAAAGGTATACAAATCAAAATATTGCAGTGGATTGACAATCAGAAAACACAACTTTAAAATTCAATTAATCCAAGTAAATTGGAAAGACGTTGTAATTACCAAAAAATATCTTAATTCCCCTTTTAAACTAAGTTAAGTGAAACAAAAAAGGATAAATAAAAATCTGCAGCTTTGACATAAAGCAGCTCAAAAATTAATGTTTTCCTATTATGGAGCTCAAAAGGGGTACTTGAATAAGAGATCTTTGAAAGAATATTTTCTTTCGAAATCACGGCAATGTAAAAGAAACATTGAAAACTTTCATACATGTAAACGTAGAACCTAACTTTTATAACAACTGATCTCTAAAGTTAATGCTATTAAATGGGAATAGGTTTTAAATTGAAAAATGGCCCAAATAACCCTGAATTAGCGCGAAAATCTTTTCTTTAAAATAGAAATGTTTCTCTAATTGATAAAAAAAAAGAATATACTCCGAAGAGCCATTACATTATGACCACCCTCCATCTATAACAACGGGCTCGCCCAGGTTTTCATGGTTTCTCGCCCAGGAACAATGTTTTCATGGGGCACATTAGGACCCATAATCCTCATAGAACAATCCCTGACGTCTGTAAGCTACTTGAACATAGTTGCAGACCAGGTTCACCTATTCATGGCAACAGTTTTTCCTGCGGGGATGGTGTTTACCAACAGGATAATGCACCATGTCATAAGGGTCGAATCGTCGAGGAACATTCCAGTGACTTTCAAGTCATGTCTTGGCCCCCAAATTCACCTGACCTTAATCCAATAGAGCATTTGTGGTCCTACTTGGAAAACCAAATTCGTGCTGCCACGCTACCCCCTCGCAATGTGAGGGAATTGCAGGACCAGTTGGTGAGCGCTTGGTACCAGATACCTCAGACTACCTATCAGCACCTTGTGGAATCAATGCCATGGCGGGTGCTAGCAGTTTTGAGGGCTAAAGGTGGTCCTACATGTTATTAGCAGGATGGTCATAATGTAATGGCTCTTTGGTGTACATATATATCATATTATTCTCTAATTGTGTGGTTTTGTTATAATGTGTAAATTTCATTGTTCAGATGCATTGCTGCTTAAATATGAAACACAGTCATTTAACTTTTAGTGATCTTTAATAATATTTACATCCAAAATCAACAATACAAAAAAAAATTAAAATAGTTAAATCCAATGAATGTTGAAAAGAGATGAATAATTGGTCATTTTAGTCTAAAGGTTCAGTTTTGATGAGCAAGTCACAATAAGTGCTTTGTGTCGACAAAGTTTTTTTTAAATAAATAAAAACTCGATGAAATAAATAATTGATGAAGATTAAAGGGGAACATATGATAAAGATATCAAAGTTCCTGGTTTCACAAAAGCATCTCGGCCACTTGGAAGACAAAAATTACTGTAGATCACCTAAAAAATAAAAGAAATATTTTATAATTCGTTATGTATCGATAAACACTACCTTGAAAATAATTATGAAAAAGAATATGAAGTTATGAAAAGTTCTGAATCATACAGTTAAATTAGGTCTCTAATGATGTAAAAATTACAAGTCTTCCGTTATTACGATAACTTTTTCTTACAAAATACACTTTTCCGTTATTTAAATGAACATTGTTGTAAAGGTATCGATAGAAGACATTTTTCATTTATTTCCAGTATTTGTACAGAAAAGCGTAAAGCTAGCATGGTTTCCTTGTCTCGATTATTTTAAACATTCTCCCCATCATTTTAATAAAGCAGACCACCAGCTAAGTTATCTTTTTTCTAAAGAGAGATAAGTTAGAAATCCTCTCTTTAAAAAAAAAAAAATTCGTATTTCGTTTTCTTTCTTGACTATTCTAAAAACAATTTGGAAACTTTTTGTTCAAGCATTTCATAACAACAATACTACAATCTATAGGCAAAAGTAATCAATTTTATATAGGTATTTTTAAATTAATATATAGTTGNAAATTGTCTTTTGTTTCCCTTTTTGACTATTCTAAAAACAATTTGGAAACTTTTTGTTCAAGCATTTCATAACAACAATACTACAATCTATAGGCAAAAGTAATCAATTTTATATAGGTATTTTTAAATTAATATATAGTTGTTCAAAATAAAAAAGGCAAGTGTATCTGCTTAATTTTTAATCTTTTTTATAGCTATTTTAACATTATGTGTGTCTATTTGCTAATAGCGACAATTTATCTATAACTTTATAGTATAACTAACCTTTTCTGTATATTATTTCTATGATTCGATTGGTCGTATTCATTTGTCACGTTAGTCTCGTCACGTAAGTGACACTATTAAAATAAAATAAAAAGTCCTACTGACCAAAATTATTTTCCCTAAATTTTCTGATATGTTTTTTATGAAGTGCACCTTGGATATGATAAACTTTAAATATGTCTTTATCTTTCCGAGAAATTCAGCTGATAGAAGTATTACCTGCTATGATTGCTAAAATGTTACGTAATATTATTGATGGCGCATTAATTATAAGTAATTTCTAAAAAATAGCCCTTTTTTTGGTTCAGTAGGATGCATAATCACTGTTTGTATGATAAATAATTCAAGAATGGGACAAAATTATTTTCATTTATTTATATTTGGGCATTTCTCAAGGGTAGGAACAATTACGTTTGAATTTTATTAATATTTTTGTCATATAAGGTAAATATTTATTACTCATGCAACGCTCTTTTCTATTTAAATAAAACTGACACTACAAATAACTTTTGTCGATGAATTTTAGAACATACAATTATCTTAAACAATAAATTATACCAAAAACTATTGGCGTAACACAATTTGGAGAACCTTTATTTCACATGCAAGAAAAGAAAAAAAATGTAGCAGAATTATTTTATAAAAACATAAGAAAATACCTTAAAAATCATTCTAAGTATGGATAAATAAGTTTAAACTACTTTATTTACTTACTGTTAAAAATGCCAGCTCGGTTCAATATGTTACTTTTTGGATATGAATCACAACACTAAATTTTTTGTTTCTAAAAATTTATCACACTACGTTGTCGCAACCATTATAACTGTTCTATTTAAACTTTATACTTTAAATTTTATTTGCAAAGATACAATTTAAAATGATGTTTATTTTAAGTGTTATTGGCGCATCAATTTCGGACATCATAAATGTCCTAGATTGACTTTTTTGGTTAAAAAAATTATTTATAAGATATTTATTGAAAAATTTTGCAATAGTTTATGCTAATTCCTGCCACTTAACAGAATTTACTGTGAATTGAATTTAAACTTAATTGTTCTCAGTGCTTAAAGTTAATAGATCCGTGTTCATCTTTCAGAAACTGCCCATTTTAATAAATAAACTTGTCAAAGAAACTATAAAATGTTACGTTTGTTACTAAGAAATGACACCATATCTTGTTTCAATTTTATGTTAAACCATGATTTCAGATTATTTATTAACAACACAAACTTCTTGTTTCAGCATCATATTTTTCTTTCTTTTTTATTTTTTAATTAGGAAATCATTTTATTGCTTTTTTAACACTCAATTTTTGCTTTAATGATAAAATTGATTAATTTTTAAGAAATATATAAAATGTATATAATTTTATCTGTTTACCAGTTACTTTTATTTCATACCTTTCTTTACACTAAATCTGAAGTAAAAATTCAAACTTTCTATTAAAAATTGGTACTCACTCTCTGATAAAAACTATTTAATTGGAAGGGAAAGTATAGGTAAACACATATTTTCTTCTTTGGGTCACAATTTTAACATGTGTTGCAGAGATCTATTACTGAAAAGTTATTTATTACTTCTTTTAATATTATACCTGACTCTCTCGATCTGTTATAGTCACTTGCCAAGCATGTTCTTCATTATTAACCATACCGCTAATTTGGTTGACCATGTAGCAATTCATAATTGATGAATGAGAGAAAGTAAACACATCTGTTTCATGATTCAAACCAAGAATGTTCTGGTACTTTATTTCAGCCTGTCTTAATGCTTCAATAAGAGTCATCAGAGGAGATACGGTAATTATTATATCTCGTGTAAGAGAATTTAATGAATCATTGGTATTTACACGAACAGTTGCTGCAAACTGAAAAATAAAAAGAATTCGGAATCATTATTGAAAAAGGAAAGGCAATAAAATATCATACTGAAATTTAAGAAAATGGGTTAGGAGAAAATTTTAAATGTCGTATTGAATAGATGAAATTTCAATCAAAAGAAATAAAACACAAATTGTAGCGAAAAAAGAATGCAGTATCAAGTGTAATAAAAATTTAATATTTTGTTTCACTTTTTTCTTCTTTTTTCTCCATATTGCTAGAATCGATTGCGTTTATGTTACAACGATTTATAAGAGGCATTTCCCAAAGTTTATTTCATAAAAAGTTGTTGTTGTAGTTGTAGTTCATGTACGTCGCATTAGAGCTGCACAATGCTATCGGCGACGATCTGGGAAACATCCCTGAGGATGATCCGAAGACATGCCATCACAATTTTGATCCTCTGCAGAGGGGATGGCACACCCGCTTCGGTAGCCCGACGAACTGCACACGAAGTTGAGCACTTTACGGTAGAACAGTTTAAAGAGGACCAATACCACACACCCTCGGTCCCTACGCAGACTGATCCAAGTGGTCACCCACCCGCACACTGACCGCAGCCAGTGATGCTTGACTTCGGTGATCTGCTGGGAACCACGTCTTAACGATCATTTTTTAATATTTTTAATTTTTAATAGTTGAAATTAATTCGAATGCTTAAACCTTCAATCGCCTTTCGGACAATATCTTCTAAAGTGCGACTGATGCATATATTTTAAAGATCAAAAATCCTATGCAATCTTATTTGTGTAAGTGAGTTTTAGGAAGAAAAAGTAAACAATTTTTGAATTGCGTTTTTTATTTTAGAGACTTGGCGAAATTCGAAAAACTTAAAAATATCATTCACACTTTGTATCGCTATTCTTCACCATTAGATAGTGACTAATAGTGCAATTAGTCTCAATAGATAGTGACTAATTGCAATAGATCACTAATTTCAATCTATTGCAATTAGTGATTAATTGCAATAGATTGCAATTAATCACTATCTATTGAGTGCGTCAAATCCACCAATTAAAGAAAAAAAAAATTCTGTCCAAGGTTTTATTTCTCACATTTCAGGCGGCCACTTGAAACATTAAGATTTATTTTTTCGACAAAATAATCCAATTCTTTAATCAAAAGTTATGTAGGGGACGGTTTTTGTTTTTCTAAACGCGTGAATAGCCTGGCAAAACAACAACCTATCCATACGAATATTGCTACTAATTTTCATATAAGTAATTAATCTAAATATAGTCACAACACCTAATATGAGTATGGTGCTAGGGTATATGCTATTAGGAAATCGATAATATACACTGGTTATCATAAATTAAGGAAAAATCACAAAAATAGCGATAACTCTTTCAAAAGTAAGCCAAACCGTGCAAAATTTGNTGGTCACCCACCCGCACACTGACCGCAGCCAGTGATGATTGACTTCGGTGATCTGCTGGGAACCGCGTCTTAACGATCATTTTTTAATATTTTTAATTCTTATTAGTTGAAATTAATTCGAATGCTTAAATCTTCAATCGCCTTTCGGACAATATCTTCTAAATTGCGACTGAACCCTATATTTTAAGCATCAAAAATCCTATGCAATCTTATTTGAGTAAGTGAGTTTTTGGAAGAAAAAGTAAAAATTTTTTGAATTGCGTTTTTTATTTGCGAAATTCGAAAAACGTAAAAATATCATTCACACTTTGTATCGCTATTCTTCACCATTGGATAGTGACTAATAGTGCAATTAGTCTCAATAGATAGTGACTAATTGCAATAGATCACTAATTTCAATCTATTGCAATTAGTGATTAATTGCAATAGATTGCAATTAATCACTATCTATTGAGTGCGTCAAATCCACCGATTAAAGAAAAAAAATTTCTGTCCAAGGTTTTATTTTTCACATTTCAATCTGGCCACTTGAAGCATTAAGATTTATTTTTTAGACAAAATAATCCAATGCTTTAATCGAAAGTTAGTAGGAGGCTGTTTTTTTATTTTTTTTTATTTTTTTTTTTAAATGCGTGAATACCCTGTCAAAACAACAGACTATCTATACGAATATTGCTATTAATTTTCATATAAGGTAATTAGTCTAAACATGGGCACAACACCTGATATGAGTATAGTGCTAGGGTATATGCTACACTATCTACCAATAAGTATTCGGACATCTATGCCAATGACTATATCTGCGGTCCTGAGAAACGACACGCCCTCCGCCGGTATATATTGTGTAGGGAACAACATCGGCAATAGTCCCATGCAAGATGCCTACTGCACTATTTTGGATGACAATGTTCGTTCTACGTTGTGGCAGTTTCACGGGGTGGACCCCTGTTACTTCCAGGAAGACAATGCCAGCTGTCATGTTGCGAGGCTCACCAAGGCTTGGTATGGTGCCAATGGGGTTAATCGAATGGACTGACCAGTCCAGAGCCCAGATCTGAACCCTATCGAGAACCTCTGGGACGAGTTGGATCGCCGAATTAAGGGGTGTACTACCCGTCCAAAATCAGAGAAGGAACTTACATGTCTTCTCCAAGCCTAGCGAAAGAAAATACCTCTAGCCGTCACACAAGGACTTGTGCAAAATATGCCCCGGAGGGTTCACGCTGTAAGTGCCTCTCATGGAGGCTCTACCAACTATTGATTATAAATAAAGTTTGTTTTTCTTTTCAATCACACGTGTCCAAATACTTATTGGTAGGTAGTGTATAAGGAAATTGATAATATATTATAAGATAGTAGTGTTATTAGGTAATTGAACCAAAAATGAGTGCATTACTTCTAATACTGAAAAATGTTTAATTCAAAATTTTGATTGTTTCTTTCAGTGTATACTCCTAAATCCATGTTAATGAAGTGATGGAATAATAAGAGTCTTCAATTTTTGTAGTTCAATCTAACGTAGTAAAGCGACGAAGCGATATTACATGTAGCAAAAATTGTTCGTATAAATTTTATGCATACGCCCGTCTTTTTTATTTAAAGATATCCTTCTTTGATCATTAATCTTTTTTGAGAGAATTCCCGTGGCTTCTTTATTTTTCAAATAGCTTTGTTGTGAATTGGCCCCCTTGACGGTCTATATTCAGTAAAATAAAAATGGTGGATGAATATGGGCATTTAAAGAGCTTAGCCACTGCAAACAATTAGCGGTCATATCGAAACAAGGAGAAAAGTAAAAAACAACACCCAAGCCTAAACCCATGATGAAAGTAACAATTGTTTCAGCTCAACCATCTTTAAGTGGTCTATACATTGTATTGTGTTCTGTATCATCACGAAGAACAGTTAGACATAATACAGTGCAACAAACGTCATGTTTGGGTGCATGAAAAATGTTCTAGCCTTAAATGAGAAAAAAAAACTGTTTTTGTATGTCTATTTTGTGACTATTTAGCATTAAGTTTCTGTTTCCATAATCTTGAAAGGTAATCCTATTAGGATGAAGAGTCCGTAATGAATGCATAGATTCTCAACTGTCCCATCGGCCCCACATTGCAATTATTTGAAGATTTCAACTCAATTCTCTTTTTTACCTGCTATCTCCTGCAAGGAGAATACATCGACTCATTTACAGATTTTTATCTACTGAAATAAGAATTACAGCGAATAAAATTCCTTGGAACGCCCACAGTTGGGTCACTTACCTTACCATATATATATATATATATATATTACAAATGGATAATTAGTCATCTTTTCATTTTAACTGCTAACCGTGCTTATAGCCAAAATGTAAATATTTGCTGACACTCAATTCCAAATCTGAACAAACACCGGCTTTGAAGTTAGTTTCTCCTTCTCACTCAAAAAAACAAGAGTAACAGAACCGGTTAAATCCTTTTCTTGGCTTCAAATATGAACAAAATTTGAAGTAAATATTTATATATAAAACGAAACAGCTAAAAGTTTTCACCCATTTCGAGTTGCGCATTTCTAGAAAAACTATGAAAATACAGACTTTAATATAATACCGAAGTTTTCACCTATGTATCGTGATAAATCTTTTTATATCATACATTTTAAATGAAAACATTATAAATTTTACTTTAACATTTACTATCAGCTTGTTCATTAATTACCATTTAATAATTAATGAAAATTAAACTCAATGCGATTTTTGTTTAGCAAAAAGTTATTCATCCAGGTACCTTATTTATTAATGTATTTACTTATAAAAAACTTAAACATGAATAATTAATGATTTAGCAAAAATTATAAATATTTTTCAAGTTTGTAATATTTTTCAATTAATTTTTGTGAAAAATTGAAAGTAAATAGTGATAATGACAAAAATGAAATAGTATAAATTAAGTGTTAAAATATATAATAAAAATCTTACTAATGATCGTACTTGATTATTCTTTACTGGTGGTATAGGAAACGGGACCACAGGCGGAATTCTAGGCTCCTGATTTCTTGCTAAGAAATCTGCTTTTAATAATCTGTTGGGTAAAGTATTTTGAGCAACTGGAATGATGACAACGTCATCTTCATGAATATTTGTTGTTTGAGAAGGTAAGGAGTAAATTGCATCATTTGGACGTAGAGGTGGATCTGCGCTTATCATTTCTGGCATAGGTACTCTCTCAATCGTATTAAACATATTCTAAAGAACAAAAGAAGAAAAAGCACAAATTTAAGAGAAATTAGAGCATCGTTTAGAGTTGTCTTTAATAGATAATTTAAGAATCCTTGTCAAAAATGAAGTAAACTAAAAATATACAAAATAGGGGTGCAAATAAATGATCCAAATCAGTCATATTGAGAAGGGGCAGAATGGTTTGCAAAATTAGGCAAGAATGAAAGCATCAAAACAAATTTGTTTGCTAGGTGAAATTTGAAGATGTTCTTAAAAATCATGTTTTTACTACCCTCTGTTTCTACCAGCTGGCAAATAGGTTTTGAAGTCCTCTTTTTCCTCAATAATGATTCATAAGATTTCAATAGAGTTTTCTTTATCATTTTAATATTAATTTGTGACTCTGACGGAAGTACTTCTTTTACTTTATTTTGACAAGGATTCTGAAAAATATACGTTATGAAAAATATATGTTATGAAAAATATATTTAAATGCACCAAAAGTGGAAAGTGAAACAACGAAAATGAACGTGTCTAAAATTTCGGCAACTTTCCTGAACAATTGGGACTATATTTTCCGATTTGCAACTCTCTTTTGAGAGTCAAGAACCAAAGTCCGTCTACAAAAATATGTTCATTCAGATAATTTTTTTTGTTGCCTGATTTCCTTACTTGAAGTATGGTTTGCACAAATTAATTGGTATATTTAAAGTTAACCCTACTAACCATTAAGTTGTATCTAGCATGTAAAAATACAATCCATAAAATTAAAAGTTATTCAAGCGTTCCATTTTATATTTGGTACATTGTACAGTACCTGCAGTAAAACAAGGTAAACACGTTGTTCTTCACATGATAAAAATTGAAAATTCAAAATTGATTCGAAATTTTTTTTAAATTATGTTACATTTTAAATTTTTTTTTTCTTTTTCTTTAAACGTGGAATAGGAAATATAAAGAGCATAAAAGACAGAAAATCAATGAAAAGTTTTGCTTTAATTTTACTTTAAAAGATTTATTTATAAAGCGTTTCTATAGTATTTTGCAAGTGGAAAAACCCCATTTTTAACTTTTTGTAAGAGGAACAAAAAAACACTTTTTACGAAAGGAAAACATAAAAGTATACAGAAAAGTTTTTTTTTTTAAATATTACACTGTTGTCCATGTGATTATACAGCAAGCAAACTTGTTCGAAAAGTAAAGTAGTTCAAAAATAAAATGACGATTCGAAAACGTTTTTGAAGGCTTGATGAAACTGTCGCTAAATTGTCAAAATATCTCTCCAATGGTTGAGGGTTAAAATCATATTTATGAAGATCATATATAGGATTTTTCTCTTAAAGTATTCTTACCTCTTCCATTTCCTCTTTAATTTTCATTCTTTTTTGAAGCATTCTTACTATTGAGAAAGAAGTGGTTCCTTTCCTCGCTGCAAGAAATTCAATCAGTTCCTGTATTTCACTCAAGCCTATTATATTAAAGATATCTTTCATGTCACATTCAATCACTCGATTGCTCTGTAACGATTTTCTGTTTGAAGTTTCGATCGGTGTGATCTTATTTTCTGTATGAGAAAGTGGATTCGCTAGATTAAAAGGTTCATAATTAGAAATAGACGATTCCACTTTGACAAAAAAGAAAAAGACTGTCGGTAGGAAAAGAAGCATTCTTCTGATGGAGGACAAGTTTTAAAAAACAACCAGTTACCTGAAATAAATATTCATAATTAGATGAGAATTTTTATACTTATGGACAGGATTTTGTGGACTTAAAAAATTCCTTAAGAAATGCCCTTAAAGGAAAAATAAAATTCGTTAAAATTAAACAAGAATTTCAAAATAATACATTTCTTTCCTTAATTGACAGATAATTGTTTTAATATACGTTCATTAAGAATAATCAAAAGGCAATTATTTTTAAAAAGTTTGTATTAAATGTTAAAATAAGAAAAGAAAAAAAAGAAACACATGGGAATAGCAAGGTTGCCAGATATATTACGAACTTTGATTTGATGAGAAAAATATCATAAAAGTTCTATGTAATAAAATGATCCAATACTAATAAAATTTCGAAACATCAAATAAATACCCTAGGTATTTAATACTTAAAAATAAACCTATTGTCCTAAAAGGAAAGAAAAAAATTCTTCGAAATGCAAATGGTTTGGGGTCAAAACTTTGCCGATTTATAATTTCTCGGGTACAAAACTTCTCTAATCTAAAACTTTACCAATGTAGAACTTAGCAGGCAGGTCTGTAGCTAAAAAAAAAATTTTTTTTTTCCGGAGAGGGGAGGTCAGATTACTTGTCAATGAATTCTAGAAACGGATTAAACATTCGAATGAACAAATTAGTTTTTACCCCAAGGGATAGAAAAATTAACAAATTATATCAAATTTCATAATTTATGAAAAAAATTAAATAATTAAGGAAACGGAACCAAACTAAAAGCAAAAAATACTTCTCAATCTAAATTTTAAATAAGTATAAAAAAAATATTCGAACTTCAATTGATCGTTAAAATCAAACTCAAACTCCATATTGCATTATTAGAACATGGTTAAACTAAATAACAAAATATTGAGAAAAAAATTTAATGTAATATTTTTATTTATTTAAAATTAATTAATTATGGATTTAAAGCTTTAAAGCATTAAATCTTCTAAATTTACATTAAGCGTTTTTCATTTTAGTTTTTAAGTTAAATTTTAAAAAAAACTATAAAAAATAAATAATTTAATATTTTTGTTTTCATTAAAATTAATTTAATTAAATGTTAAAAGTTTTAAAATACTGACTTCTTTTCTAAATTAACACTAAGCGTTTTTATTTTAATTTTTAAATTAAAATAATGAAATATTAAAAAATATTTAATTTGATATTTTTACTTTTATTAAAATTAGGTTAATTATAAATTTGAATTTACTAAATATTATAATATATAAAATATCTTCTATTAAAATTAATGCATAAATTAATTATAATAAATTATTAATGAATTAATAATAACTCCTTATTTAAAAGTTCAGCATCGAATTTTTTTACTGAAGATAGCATAATTTTCGCTAGCTTCGTCTATGGGTGTAATTACAAAATTTTTTTGAAGTTATTTCATTGCTCGATCAGTTTTAGAAAATGTGTTGAATTGTTACTGTTATTTAAATTTATTTTATTATTAAATATAACGTTTTTAAAGTAATAATAAATAGCCCATTTCCCTTTTGTTAACATACCTAAGGGTAAAGGGAATCTATTTGATATCTTTAAACAAAAATTATTGAGATCATTAAGATAGAATTTGAGAAATTTATTAATTGATTTACGGTAAATGGACCTAAATTTTGTGCTCTTTAATATTAAGTGCCTTAGCTCTAAGTTTTCTATAATATTTAAATTACCAGTATTATTAAGATGTTTATCAACAAATTCAAAATATTTCTCATCCTCACAGCGACATACATAGAAAAATTAAGGAAATAAAAAATTAAAATTAATAAAAATTAAGAATTTTTTTATAATTTTGCATAAAATGGACATAATTTTGCTAAATAATATTTACCTCGAGGAATTTTGTTTCATAATCATGACGATAATATTAATTTTAATTTTTTGATTTAAGTATTAAAAGAATTTAAGAAAAGCTTGTTGAGATATACAATAAAAGGAAGTTTAATGTAAATAAATTAATTACTTAGAATTCTAATGTTTCTAGAAGTATTTATTCAAATACTATTTTTAATCAAATAAATAGAAGGTATGCGTGAAACATTTATTCACCCAAAAAAATAGGCGCACTCTTTCAAAATTTGATTATAAATAATGGATATCCAACAAATATAATTAAACTTTATACAAAATCATTGGGTTAATTGTGAGTGTTATGCAAAATTATTGGGTTAATTGTGATATTCAACAAATATAATTAAATTTTATGCAAAATCATTGGGTTAATTGTGTGTGTTATGCAAAATTATTGGGTTGATTGTGATATCCAACAAATATAATTAAATTTTATACAAAATCATTGGGTTAATTGTGTGTGTTATGCAAAATTATTGGGTTAATTGTGATATCCAACAAATATAATTAAATTTCATACAAAATCGTTGGGTTAATTGTGTGTTAAAATTAATGAATGAATATATTTACACAAAATCTATTTTGTTATATTTATATTGATATTTTTTACCTTATACAAATGTAATTCACGTGAATCCGAGTCCTAAAATTTCTAATTCTCCAATTTTTCAATTAATATTTTTCAATAAATATTAATAATTTCTCTAAAAATCATCGAATTAGAATGTTGTATTTAAAGTTCGACCTTTTATTAACTGTAAATTTTGAATTTTTCAGTAACATACTATTACCTTACGCAAATCCAATTTTCCGGCCAATTCAAGGTTATACACTTAAGTAGGAACGCTCTTTAAAAATGTATCCCACCATTAAATTTCATATTCCAAAATCTACCAACTCAGTTGCGAAAACATTTTAAAATCAATTTTGCAAAATATTCGCAAGTTCATAGCGTCCGTTCTCACTTCTCGTTTTATACGTTCCTATTTGTGTTTTTTTTTCTTCTTCTTAAATTTCTGTGATTTTTGCTTGATAGGGTTTATCTTCGAATCAGTTAATTTTCTTTTTTTCCTTTGGTGTTTCTCGCACTATAGTATTTATTACATATTTTGCTTTAGTAATATTGTTACACTATTAGAAAGCAGCATTTTTAAGGATATAATCGTATGCGGCTACCTCCTATATTTTGGGGGTCAGAAATCCGAATCTGTTGGGAAAAAAAGACATGTTTATTTAAGGAAAGTACATTTTTGTGCCTGATTTCGTAATTTAAAATACCGTCTGCACTAATTAATCAGCATATTCGAGACTATGTCAGACTATGGATTTCAATGAACAAGGTTCGAGTAAGAGTCAGAGATCACGAGTTCGAAAAACCTCTGAAGGAGGGAGTTCGAACATTTAAAAATAATTCAAAGACAGAATTTGCATAGTATTAATTTTGAGTGTGTAAGTACCCTCATTATGCANTAGTATTTATTACATATTTTGCTTTAGTAATATTGTTACACTATTAGAAAGCAGCATTTTTAAGGATATAATCGTATGCGGCTACCTCCTATATTTTGGGAGTCAGAAATCCGAATCTGTTGGGGAAAAAAAGGCATGTTTATTTAGAGAAAGTACATTTTTGTGCCCGATTTCGTAACTTAAAATACCGTCTGCACTAATTAATCAGCATATTCGAGGTCGCCCCAAACCATTAAGATCAGGTCCTAGAACGTGAAGATCCGGTCATTAGATCAAAATGTATTCAATATAATCCGTTTTTTTTTTTTTTTTGTTTTTTTTTTGCTCGCTGTATATTTTTTTTGTACTATGCCCACTCTTGTTTAAACAACAAATTGCATGAGCACATGACGTGCCATATTTGAGACAACGTATTTTGTTTAAAAATGAGTATATGTTGATTTGAGCATATTACTATACTCAATAACAAGGAGCTTTCTAATTTCACTAGATTTGCTTCGAAGCCATTTCGACAGATTTTATTTTTGCTCAGTTTTAAGATACCCTTATTTACAGTGAATGTGAACCTCCTGCTACTAGACTCCTATGCCATTATTTTAAAAATAAAGCAAGACACAATATCGGTACAAAATTTTTTAGTAACTTTAAATTTACCTTCACTGTATTTTTGTCGAAGAAGTAAATTTGCCATTAATTTTCCGAATTTATTTCAAGAATTTATTAGTTATATTGAAATATAACTTTTAAAATTATAATGTATTGGAAATTATTCTGCCAATTTATGTTATTCTTTGTGTTTCACAATAAAAAAAAATAAGTACAATAATTTTCATATACCATAAATCAAAAAAATAATGACATAAATTGGCAGAACGATGTTAATAACTTATAATTAAAACTTGATTATAAATAAATAAGACGTTTAATAATACTGATTAATCATTAAAAATTGTTTCTACATTAATATCATTTTTAAATAAACAAGCTTTAAAATTGCAATTGATTAATGCCATTAGTATATTCACAATATTTAAACATGACACTGAAAAAAATATTACTCATACAATGAATGACAAATAATTCTGTTTTATAACGAGCACAGAAGTAGCAATACAAATTTTGGAGCTATAAAGGAAAAGAAATAATTGTTTTAAACTAAAATAGTATTGATTCGAAATTACTTTCCTCTTCTTCTTAAATATACAGTAAAATAGTATAAACGATATTTATCAGTTTAAAAAATAAAGCTTGTAGTGACCTACTTATTCTATACTTAATTAGTTTTATTCAAAGAACTTAAACGGGGAAAATTGTTAATTGGAAAAATTTAACATTTATTTGCAATACCTAAAACTAGAAGTATGACGCGAATAGAAAAAAAAATTCTGTTATAAGTTTGACTGTCAATTATTTCAGAGTAAATGAAAAACGTATTGCAGAAAGAATCATTCTTGAAATTTCATTATTTACATTTACCATTCATCGTGACTGAGTAATTGCTTCGTTAAAGGAAACAATTGAAAAAAATATTGATTTTATATATAAATACTTTTTTCGGTCTTATTCAGCGTTTGTAATTTAAACCTTTATGTGTATCGAATTCTTAATGTGAAACTGTTGATATAGATATGATTAGATATATTTTTAATAGTTTATTCTAAAAATAACAAATTATGATTAAAAGATTGTCGGCCAGACTGATCTCTACTTTTTCGTTTAAAATGCACCCCATATGCACCCTAATAAATATGGAATCACTATATGAAGATTTTATAGTATTCTGCAAAATGCTTTTCTCTCTTATTCCGAATTGAACCTTGTAATGTTTACAATATTTTATTTTATAACCGGCATTGAACAGTCGACCCAGTTTTGGGTTTACGTTACTCCGTAACTTTATCTTACCCGTAACCTTATCCGTAACTTTATCTTAAACTCTGTAGCCTTGTAATTTTGAACCCAATCCAGAAGACAAGATAACTCCTGAACCAAATATTGGGATAAATTTGCTTTCGTGGAGGACTTGTTGATGAAACTAACCCGCATTTGGGTTACATGGAGAGGAAAACCACGAAAACCTCCCATGGTTAGCATTACGGCAAGGAGACTCAAACTCAAGATCCGTCTATCACTAAGGATCTTTTACGTCAGCATTGTGGTCGGTGCGAGCCGGGTACGGAGTTCGCATCGACCAGCGATCGCTGGGATTCGAATCCGGTTCTTCTCATTGGAAGGCGAAGGCTCTATCCCCTGAGCCACCACGACTCAATATTTAATATTTTGAGAAACATTTCAAAAGAAAATCCTTACACTAATAATATCAACAGCTTTTTAATCGGTTAAAATTTTCAGTATTTAAAAAGTGCCGCTTGTTTTTAAAAGTGGACAGCTAAAAATGCTACAACTGGCTCCTGGCCAGTGGCGGCAAAATTTCCTAATTTTGCCCTCTCGGATGTTTTCAAGCATATCATGGAGGTTAAGGCCCTACAGTTTCGAAATCAACTCTATGCTGGTGGCAGTGGGTTAAGCATTGCGCGCCAGCCACATTTCCTTTCCATACAAGATAGTACCTATCGATCGGAAGCCTGAGCTTTAGGTCATGACAGGTGATATAACACTGGTTTTTCACAATGATAGCTCAACTAAGTGCTTTAATCATTGTGCTATTGTGGATCAATATAAATTGATTAATGCAAGGTATTTTGTAAAGACTTCACATACACATATATTAAAAACTTTTGCATAAATAAAGTAAAAAACTATTCATAATAGGGTTTGTAATTGGCATTTAGGGGAAAAAAACGTTAATTAAATTAAATAAAATTCATTTTATTTGTTTAGCACTCGAGTCTTTTCTCCAAATCAACTTTCAGCTTTAGCAGTAAATGAACTGAATATTGAAGATTTTGAATCCTCCTTTCCTCTGATTGTTCTCGATAATACTTCTTTAGAGTTCGATAACTTTTCTTGTTTACTTTTTCAAAATCGCAATATCAAATTTTGATTAATATTTTTTTTACGAGTTAAATTTGGAATTTGTTTTTGCTTTGTCATTGTTTTAGTTTAACAACTTTATTTCAAATTGCTTAAATTTAATTATACCAAACATATAAAGCTGAATTAAATTCTTTTAAAAAACTTATTTTGAATATTTGAACCTAATAATTTTTATTGTATGTTTTTTTGAAAATTTTTAATTCTCAATTCAACATTCTGAATCCAAGATAAAACGAAATTACTCTTTGAAGATTCAACATTTTTCATTGCAAATGGAAAAAATATGTATTTTTAATGCATCCCATTGTTTGTTGTATAAACCAAAGAAAACTACTGAATTTTGCGGGAATTACAATTTTTTTTAAAATTTGTGTTAATCCTATGTTTGTAATAAAAGAAATTTTGCATCCTGGATGGTCGCGTTCTTAATGAAAAAACTTATAATTATATTACTATAAAAGACTGCAATAAAATTACGCTATCCGAAAAAAAAATTAAAAAAAAAAGTAAGAATTAATTTTATACCCAAATGTTCAGATATCTAACTTTTTCATTTAATATAAAGAAATTATTAAAAGATAATTTTCAACTAATAAAAGACTCACTTCTCGTAGTTTTTCAATTGTTTGAATTAACAGAATCTTATCTTTAATTTACACAATCCATTTTAAGTGATTTTGAATTAATCCATTTTTAATTACTGATCTATTAATTTTATGCATTCTTTAAGAAAAAGAGATTTCATTTTCCAGAAGCCTTTAAATGTGTAAAATTAAATCCTGCAGAAATAAAATTTGAAAATGCAACAGGCGTTTCTTTAGGAAAGTAGTAGAGGATATTAAAAAATAATTCAATTAAAAGGCAATTCAACGATCAATAATCGTACACTTTATTTAATAAAAGAACTTATAAACAATAACTTTGTAACATATTTTCTTACGTATAATCTCTAATTATTCGAGTTCTTATTTAAGAATGATTAGCACAGATAATTATAAATAAAATAATTTACGGAATCGAAATATTCTCTATACTAAAAAAGAATACATTAACATAACGCTTTAAATTAAAGAAAAAAAATTAATTCTATGGTATTTAAATATAGTCCTATTTAATAAATGTATAGTAATTAAATCAATAAAACATTTACAATTCCGAATCTCTTTTAACTTATTTAGCATTTCCTTTTGACAAATTAAAGAAATTTTCATTAATAACACTTTTATATGCTTATTAATGTTTCAATTTTATTTTAATATTTGCAACTTTAAGTAATTAAAAATGCAAATTAGTCATAATATTATTTTATTAAATAAAATATAAAAATAATCTGTTTTAAATTAAAAAAAAGTATTAAGCATCCAAACATCGCATGAAAAATTATAAACAAAGAGACAAACTAATAAATATTTTCTTCTAATAGTTTCTAACTAATTAAATAGTATTTAATCCGATCATAAGGGTTATTTTTGCTAATAAAATATGCAAAATAAATTATATGAAATATTTTTTGAAAAGATTTGCAAACATACCATCAACAGGTGCAATATGAAAGAAGCTAACCGAATGAAAAACTGAATAAACTAAGTGTGTCTCTATATTTATTAGAGGAGAAAGTTTTGCGGGGGAGTCACATCCGTGGCGCCTCTAAATTTTATTCATTCTCTTGATGGAAGTAGAGCGGTATGCGTCAAGATGTATTTGAAATATTTGTTTCCGTTTAAATACCAAGCAATTTTGGTTGTACGCAACAAACAAACCTTGCCCGCTCTACAATTTATTGATATTTATTCTTTCGGGTGAAACTATTTATTCCTTCGAGTAAGAAATAGTATGTTCATTGAAATAAGTGAATATTTAAGAAAGAAAAAAATTGTGACAGTATCAGCTCATAAAAACTATGCTTTAAAAATAAAAAAATATTAATAACATTTTTCAAAACCAATAAAAATGAAAGCATTATTTTAATAAATAAATTCAATTATTTTTAGCAATTAATTAAAATAAATATTGTGTTAAAATAAATTTTGATGACAAAAAAAGGATTAAATAATAAAAAGAATTTAATAAAAAGCATAAAGCTCTGAAAAATGCCTTTAAAACATCAAAAGACTTAAACAAAAAATCTTTTTTTTTTCCTGTTAAGTTATGATTTTTTTAATTACGTATACAAACTTAATTTGTTTTAAATGTGGCAATTTTTTAATGATTTTACATCTAAATAAAGAAGTAAAAATATTTTTTGTAGTACTCATTTCTTTACAAACTTATATCATTAGTTTTTTAATGACAGCTTTTTAATTTAAGTAAATATTTCAAATTTTTGCTCCTTTTCATCTAAAGTAATAGCGTCACTCAGCCGTGTAAAAAAGTACCATAACATAAAATTTGAATTTATTCTCTTTTACATACTATTTCATTTAGTTAAGTTTTAATTCAAGTTTTATTATGAATTACTTTTATGTTAAACATAAGTGTAAAATTTTTAATATCATTCAAAATGAAATTAACTAGTTATTATTTTAAAAAATGAAATAAAAAATCATTGCCTTTGAATTGTTTGATTCTTCTCTCTTTGATCTTTCTGAGTGTCGAAAATTGTTCAATTCTTTGATTCCCCGCAGATCAATTCGTATTTAATTCTTTGTTTCTCAATGAAAATACCGTAGGTAGATGAGAAGTATTCATACGAAGAAGTATTCATTCATTGATCATTGCCCAAACACAGGATTAGATTTAATAAGAAATGAATTTTTACCTGCATTAAAGGGAACATTGTTGTGATTATTGTTTATTTTATGCACACTTGAGATCATTGTTTTTTAAATACAAAGTGATCCATAACCACTACTCCTAATATGTTTTCAGAATCTCTGTCAAAAATGCAGTCAAAATTACATAGATACAAAACACATCGAGAATTTTTCTTCTTCTTTTCTACAAGAATATAGTTTCGAGAAATCATATGTTAATCTTCCTATAAATTCCGTCTTTCTCATATTTATTGATGATCTTTCGGTTATTAATTTTAACGATTTTGGTATTATAGCTAACCAAATTTATCCAAGTTAATTAATTCTTAACAAAACTAATATTTGAAATTCTTCAACAAATTTTCTAGATTTAACTTTTATTATTAATGAAGATAGAAGAATTATATTTAAACTTTTTGACAAAAGATGATTTTAACTTTTCAATTAAAAAGAACGTTAAGTTTAATTCCAACTTAGCCAACTTTTCCAACATTAATACCAATCATATTCTTAGGATTTACAGCAATAATTCCAACTATAAAGGGTTTTGAAAAGAAACTGATAAATTTAAAACAGATTTAATTCCTTCTTTCTCATATTTATTGATGATCCCTTGATTATTAATTTGAAAAATTTTGGTATTATAGCTAAACAAATTTATCCAAGTTAATAAGTTCTTAACAAAACTAATATTTGAAATTCTTCAGCAAATTTTCCAGATTTAACTCTTATTATTAATGAAGATGGAAGATGGATATTTAAACTTTTTGACAAAAGATGATTTTAAATTTCCGATTAAAAAGAGCGTTAAGTTTAATTCCAACTTAGCCAATAAGGTTTTTTCCAACATTATTACCCATCAGAGTCTTAGGTTTTACAGCAATAATTCCAACTATAAAGGGTTTTTAAAAGAAACTGATAAATTTAAAACAGATTTAATTACTAGCCATTTTCCTAATTCATTCCTTCAATTTCATTTTAACAAAATGTTAAACCACATAGAACATTAAAAAATGTTTATATTTATATATATATACATACGTATATATTTTCATCCTTAAAGTATTTATATTAAATATCTTCTGCCTGTTCTTAGAATTAGCTCTGATTAATTTTTAAGGCTGGAACTAATTATGATAAGCTATTTCTAAAGCCACTGGACGGAATAGTTTGGATGTATGACCTTTTATACTGGTTCAATTAATTTGTTAAGTAAGTTTCTAAATAAATTGTAGCCTTTAAAAAATAACTTCGAATTATTTAATTTTAATTGTCCAGTGTAATAAACAGTTTATTTTTATTTTCCTGTTATTATTATATTTATTTGTTTTTAAGTATTTTTTATTGTTATTTTTTTGTGAGTATGAAATGAGCTCTGGTTTATGAACAGACATCCCCAATGAATACAGGTAATACGTGTAGACTTTACTGTTATGAAAGAATGTATGAATGAAGGATAAAGTCTATAAACGGCTTTCTATCCATGTATGCAGGCTCTGAATTATAAGCAGTCACCCTATGAAGGAAAGAATACCAATAATGGTTTATTCTTAGTTTACATCTGTAATTTAAACTCTACAATTATTACCTATTTGAATGTTGTTGTTCTTTTAATATTTTAAATTTTTCAATTTTTTTTATTAATTTATTTTTTCTTTTAAGGGTTTTGTTACTGAAACTTCCGATTTTTTTATTAACGTGTTCTTTTTACATAAATGGCAGCACAAAAGTGTAATTTGCTTCAGATTTTTTCTAAAAAATACTTTTTTTAAATTATTTTGTACAATTTAAGCTATAAGCCTTGATTTTTATTACTTTCTTTCGATTTTTTGTTAACTGTTAGGTTAGTATATCTATTTTTAAGACATATTATACTTTTACTCCACGTCGGTAAGTTTGTTTTCTGTTTTCTTTTTATCTCAAACTCATTTTCAATTGCATTTTATTTTTTTTTTGGCTACATGGACGCATTATGAAGAGTAATTTTTAAATCGTTAATTCGTTAAATAGAAAATCACTTTTTGAAACACTTAAACAACACAAAATAGGTTTTAAATTCATGAACACTAGACATAATTAAAATAGCAATTGATACACCTTTACCTTGTAAACTTATATTTACTATTTATTTTATAAATCTTAACCATGAAAGAAATCTGCGTGGGAAGCAAGAATAGAGCAAACCATTATCCAGTGTTACGCCATCATGCTACATACATGCTACAAAAATAATAGCTGCATTTGTTATAAAAGTAATTTTAAACATACATTACCTCATGCGTTCTTAAGTTAAATTGCTACAGATAAAATCCGTAAAGTTTGTCTGAGTTTCTCGTTTGAAATGCAAACAGAAAGGGGAAGGGATTTTATTGCTTTCTGTAAAAGTTAAGTGGCTTCGAAAATCAATTCAAAGTCATTTCCCTCATAAAATGCGGTAACAAGTTTCAAATGTTCTATAATATTTTAGGAAATAGGGAAAGTGGATCTCAAAGAAAAGTTCATTAAATAGAAAACTCACTTCGCTGTTTGGAAGTTCGTTAAATGGAAGTCCGACTGTATATATATATATATATATATATAAATNCTGAAACCAAAATATATACACAGAGAGAGAGAGAAAGATAAGTTTAGGTGAATAAAACATAGCAGAATATTTGGTGGTTATATAAGTTTTTTGCGAAAAAGTTACGACCTATATTTTTTGTTTTGGTTCTGACAAAAATTCTGTTTTTCGCTTTCTTTACTTCTGAAAGATATGGTTTTTAAAGGAAATTTTCATTTTATTATTTTCTCTGTTTTGTCTGTTTGTTTGTTGGTTTGTTTGTAATGGAAATTGGTAGGAATTTTTGTTGCTTGGCAATAAATTTCGTTTGTAATAACCAAAAAACGATCAATCACGGAGCACCAATTTAAACTAGTCAAAATTTTGGTCGGATAAATTTTATTTTACCATAAAAATAACAATAAATTCTGATTCTAGAGGTCAGAAAAGGATCGAAACTTGTATAGTCATCCTGCAAAAAAAAAACTCCAGTTGAAATTTAAACTAGTCAGACAGTAATCGAAATTTTAGTTAAGGGCTTTGCCATTCGCAAACGAAGACAGATGTAATGTGAAATCTTTTTGATTTAAACTCCACCATATTTTGGGAAATAATTCTGTGGAACAAAATGTTTATTATCTGCGCAGGAAATCCAACAATACATCTTTCTGCATTTTATTGTTTACTGAAAATAATACTCTAGGTTAGCTTGTGCTATTTTATTTGTGTAGTGAAATTTTAATTATTTTTATGTAAATGTTTGCGAATTTTTAAGTTCGTTTCTGTCTTTCATTCTCCTTCATCAATTCTTTTAATCTTTTTTAATAATTATAAGGGGCTATTAAGGAAGTGATTTTATATTTTTTGGACAAAAAAGTTTCCTGCAAAAGTCATTCTGTGAAATTTTGCAATGCAGGCAAATTTATTAAGTCGTGGAGTTCCATGGGGTCGTGAGGGACACTTGTTTGTGTATTTTCTTTAGTAAATGTGTTTTAATCTTTAATAAAGCAGTTTTCATTAAATGTGCCTGAATGAGAGACGAATGTTATTTTTTTCTTTCTAAAATAAAGTCTAAAAATAAATTAAAGCAAGCGTTACGTGTGAGACAGATGGATGAAATAGATGAATTCAGCCAATTGATAGTTTAATTATCGTATTTATTTTCCTAAAATACAAACTTTCGTAAATGCTTTTCAAAAGTTTTTAACTGTTTTAAGTCATGGTAATGTTGAATTTTACTTTTTTTTCTTCAATTTGTCATTAGGTCGTAACTTGTGGGACAGATCGGAAACTCGAGCACACGCGACAATTAAACAATTTTAAACTCAATTTTTACTCATTGTAAACTGTCATTACATTGCATTAAAACATTTTAACTAT